GAGTGAAATATAGAATTTTAATAATTACATGATTTATGTTGGGTACCATTATGTGCGAAGCACTGTGTAAAATAATGTGCAAATACAAAAATAAATTAGGCTGACGTCTCCAAGGAGCTCAAATTGATTTGAGGTGATAGCACATTAAAGACAAAGCAGAATGAGGCAAAACATGTGCCTTAGGCAATAACATACTATTCATAATATTGCAAACTCTGCCCTAATTGCTACAAATATTGCTTTTATCTTAAAGCTCCTTTTAAATTTTAACGTTCCTAAATAACATATACAATTGAGATTATTTGTAAATGCAAGACATGAAAGAAAAATATATGCTGTCCAGAACCAAACTTCTAATGTGAATTTTACATGAATGATTTGTAATTCAGTAGAATTGCTTTTAAGATTGTCTAGGTTGGGTGGTGCCTATGGCTCAGTGAGTAAGGCGCCCGACCCATATACCAAGGGTGGCGGGTTCAAACCCAGCTCTGGCCAAACTACAACAAAAAATAGCCAGGCGTTGTGGTGGGTACCTGTAGTTCCAGCTACATGGGAGGTTGAGGCAAGAGAATCGCCTAAGCCCAATAGCTGGACGTTGCTATGAGCTGTGATGCGTCAGCACTCTACTGAGGGTGACAAAGTGAGCCTTAGCCTCTAAAAAAAAAGATTATATAGGTTAAAGCTGATGCTTGTGTAGGAGAACAATAACACAGAATGAGGATGGAAATCCCGGACTGAAACATAGAAGCAGGGCAGACCACATGGATTCTATTTGGGACATTGCCAAATACTGACTAGTCAGAGCATCACAATTTAGAGGAGTAAGTATTAAGAAACCAACAAAAATAGTTTCCTAATATTAATGATTTCAACAGATTTCTCTCTCTCTCTCTCTCTTTGTCAAGAATCCTGTTTAAATACCCTATCTTAAAGAGGCTTTCCTGGACTATTCTACTTAAAATAGCAGAAAATAAGTTTGGATGGAATACAAGTCTAGAGAACAGGGAAAAAAATAAAATTTAGAACAATAAACAGTATACAGTTAAAATATTCTTATTGTCACCATAAAGTATTTATGTAACACACACCCACATATATTGCTTTAATCATAATTTTTTAAAAGATCAGATATTTTAATATGGGCTACGGAATTAGATGCATTAATCACCACTTGAGATCACTACGCTAGAATAATTAGTATAGAAATCTTTTACGGGGAGAGGCAGTATTAAAACAACTTAAAATAATCAATGATGTTATAACGCTCCCTTTGGTTAGATCATTGATGATTAGTTCTTCCAATCTGAATCAGATGAATCCATTGGATTTGTATCTATTTATCCTGAATTTGATGTATATTTTAAAGAACTACTTATAAATGAATAATTAAATAATTTTAAATCACTTTTATATTATATAGGGAGACAAGAAAGGAAATTAGGTGATAATTTATAGAACACTTTGTACATGTTGGGCAGGTACAGCATACAATTATTTTGACAAATATGAATAATAACTACATAATAATATTCTATAGTGGGACAAGTCAAAACGCGTAGAGATTAAAGGTTTACTTTAGACCACTTCGATGTCCATGGATAGATGTCGGAATATAAGAATGATTTTTGTCTTGGTTCTATAAACAAGTTATAAGATATTTCTTACAAGAATGCATAATTCTGTCCATGAAATCACTGTTGTTGCTGTTGTTTGCATTAAAGTCCTAGGACAAACACAATCATAGCCGTGTATATAACAGAGAAGAGAAACATTTTGATAAAATATTTTATTATTATTAAGAATAACAATACAATCATGGTTATAAAAATAACAACTTTATTAGCTACAGAGACTTTATAATACAAGTCATAACCACAGTGTCCCCTTTTGGGGCAAGCATCCAGCTATCCCACACAATAGGCAGCTTCTCAATTTCCCATTTACACACAAAACAGTCATAACATCCACAGTATTCCCTTTCAGTTTCCTAAAGATAGAAACTTTCTGTGCAAATGGAAATGAACCTACTGAAAAGGTACACTGGCAAGAGTTTTATGATCCAGAAAACTTTAATTTTTTTTTTTTTAATTAGTAAATTCTTAGTTCTAAACTCAGGTGAATGTGGAAAGATAACTTCCCTTGGGACTTTATCATCAAAAAGTAATTTATTTAAAAAGTATTTGCTTAAACAAGATCAAGATTGTGTCCCTTTTACTCTTAACTATTTATCAAATGAGTTTGTAAATGAGGGATATAATTAATTGAAAGGAGTTATTTGGCTCTCAAATTAATCAATTTAAGAATGTTTTCCTATGAGACCTTATTAAAATTCTTTACCTCATGATCTCTATATGGGAGAACCAGTATTTCTTTTTTTTTTTTTTAAAGGAAAGTTTAGAAACAACAAGAAAATGCCTAACAGCAATTTCCCACTTCTTGACAGTGTTCTTTTCAAGAGAATGTTGTGGCTATAACATTCGCTTTGTACAGTACCATTGGTACCAACAAGAAATATTCACAGGAATAAGTGAAATACAATTTTGCTATCACATGCCATTATTGTTATTTTCCTTGCCTTCCAGTGTCTCATGATTCCCATAGTTTGAAACACCCAGATAGCAAGCAAGAGCTTGTTAATACTAGAGACTGACTCAATATAAACCATTTCACTGAGGTCCTGCCCACAGCGAATAGGTAAAAGTCCTTACACATTTATAATAAAATTAAAAAGAAGTATACAAAAGGATTATTATCCCTTCTGCACGGCAGAGGCATTATGACAAATATTTTAATTTTACATTTCAATTCCTGGTAGACCTCAGAAAATGTCTACGCTTCTAACAGCATACTGTGTGTAACCATTATTAGAACAGCCAAAACAAAACAGCATTGAAAATGTCAGACTTAAAGATCCTTTTTTTCCATGACACGAAATGAAATGGATTATTGGATACAGTGAACTTTTTTTTTTCTAGTTTATTTAGAAAAGAACACCAAGTAATTAGCATTTTTCACTAGAGAATAAAGCCAGGATTGCACCCTGGCCTACTACCTAAACTAACTGGGCTTGTTCATCAGGCTTCCATTGTCAATGCCACCCACGTCCCTTTATCACGAAGGACATTTCCCAGAGAATTGCTTTGTGCACCATGTTTGATGATGTACTAATGTTGTTTTTAACCCTTTAACAAAATAAAAAATACTGTTCAAAATGTCTAAACAGTTAGCTGCACCTTGTACTTAGGTAATCCTTCTCTCTCTTTCCACAAAAATTTAAAGGAAAAGACACAAAGGAAATATTTTTTAAATGCAAGTACTTAACAGTACTGCAAGTTTTATAAATGTCTTACAAATATTAGTATGTGACAAAAGTTGGGCTGGTTTGACAAAAAGAAACTGTGAAAAATATTTAATATTTTGCCAATATGCTTTTGAAGTTATTATGTGTTTTCATCAAAATGATGTGTTATATAAGGAAAGAAAAACAGAATCAGATAAGATGAAATGGACCGTCAACTAGTTGGATCACTTTTTGGTTCTACTACAAGTTACAAAATATATGGCACACTGTGTGTAAACACTTCTGGATGTGGTGCCTTGTGTACTCTGTGGATTAAGCTCTCCAGCAGATTTAGAACTGCTTTACTCTGGACTGAACCATATCGTAGAGAGCTTTCAGGGCATTGGTTGGGAACTTGGCCTTAACAAAGATCACTTAAGAAAACCAAGTCTGAGAAATGGGAATAATGGATTCAAAGCATTCACATCAATTCTTTTTAAAGATGTTAGGAAGAAGTACAGGAGGATTCTGTGAAAAATTAAAGCTTATCCTATTATTCTTTGTTGACCCATTTCTCAACACATACATGTGGGATAGCTGTGTAGGACAGATACAACAATAAATACAATGATTTGACACAGAATACGAGATGTAAGTGAATATTGACTGCTGATGGCATTAAGCAGATTTTACAAAATGAAATAAGAAAATGACTATATCTTGATAAAATATTTGATTCAGCAAATTCAACTCTACTTTAAAAACATAATTGAATAGAGAGATTAGATAAATTGATTCTTTCATTTACAACTTATTTTTTACTTGAATAAAGCTATGTTAGGCTAGAAGACTTCCAGATTTGGAAAAGCATTTTCACTTTTTCTCTGACATTTACAGTAATGCATGATTCTCCAACATAGTCTTTAATGCATGATATACAAAACTCTGAAGGTATATGGAATTGTTCCTTTTAAATATTTTTTAAAAATTAAAAATAGAGTGGGCTAGAAACCAATTACAGCAGAAAGTCTAAGAATTAAGCTATGTAGCTACATTTTTATTGACCAAAATACTTACACATTTTTTTCAATTAAACACTTATCTGAGGTTTAAGAATTACTTTAGGAAAACAGGTGTACAGATATTTTGCATAAGTAAGTGGCCCTAAAATTGAAGGAAAAAAAATAGACCAATCACTTTCTTTCCTTTAAGATGTAGAAACTACATAAGGACAATAAATAAATGTAATCACCTACATTAGGTCATGACAATACCCGAAATGCCAGCCAGTGAAGGTCATCTGAAGATTATGTACAGAGGATGGAATAGTCATTTTGATGTTTCATCTTTCTTTAATGCTTCTGCTGGTCTTTAGAAATTTCCATTCTTTGGGGAAATAGGATAAGTACATACTTCCAAAATATTTAGTGGTTACATCACGTATACCACAATTTAAAGTGTAGTGCACGCACATGTGTACTCAGGCACATGTACACAATTATGTATTTTCATAAAAGTGTGTTTGTGTACCAGTATTGCCAGATATACGGTGAGGAGAAATGAATGAACTGTAACATATGGCATATGAAATGGAGTGACAATTTAAGGACCCAAGGTGTAAAATGTTTTGGTCATGTTAAAGTTAACATTTAAGTTATGGTTTATTCATCATTAAGGAACTAACCTTGGAAAGCAGCATAGAGAGATTAATTGATCTTTTCCGTTAAATCTTTTATCATCCAGCAATTACACCTTTGCATTTTTTAATCCGTTCAAGTATCTTCAGGAAATATGTTACTACACTTGCATGTACCTTAACTCATTTCAACATTTACAAAATAACACTGACAAACAAAACAACAGAAAACACCCACAAATATTGAGTATTTTAACAAACATGACTCTCAAGTAGTTGTCTTAGGTTGTTTTAAGTGACATTTCAATTCCACATTCTCTGAAATCTTCACGTAAAAGAGAGCTGTATTGGTGGATGCTTCAGACACACTTACTTGAGCTATGACTGTGGTACCTTATATGTTAAAATAACTTTGTGTATCCATTTTGCATAATATGCTACTCGGACAAAAATACCAGGACGATTGGGAATGGCACATCCACGACCAGGAACGATGACGCCAAGAACCATTCTCATTTTGTGTTGCTCACAAATAAGTGGGCCGCCATAATCCCCCTAGGCAGAAGAGATATTGCAACATCTTATTAGACGTAGAAATAATAATAATATTTGCATCTCAGAGATACCTGTATACACAAAAGAGAAAAACTGCAACTGAAATATGAAGGTATAAAAATTGGTATACTAGACCGCTGTTTGTCTTGCTACTGAATTAGTCAAGGAAGACTAAAGTAAGTACAAAGTTCAAAGTATTCTATCCTATGTAATAGTCACTTGAGAACTTGCCTTTTGCAAAATATTCACTCATCCTTTCAAGTGTGCTTTGCAGATTAACATATAACCACTAATACCTTTTTAATTAGGTATATGTTATATTTATTTTGATCCTGTGATAGTCAATATACTTTTAATGCAGAAATTTGAAAAATGGAGAAAAATGCAAACAAAAAACCCTGTTGTAATCATATAGTTTTAATGATTAAACTACAGTAAAGGCTGAGGTGGGTGGACTGCTTAAGCTTGAGCGTTTGAGACCAGCCTAAGCAGGAGCAAGTCCCCCGTCTCTAAAAACATATACGGGTTGTGGCAGGTGCCTATAGTCCCAGCTGCTTGGGAGGCTGCAGCAAGAGGATCTCTTGAGCCCAGCAGTTTGAGGGTTCTGTGAGCTATGATGCCATGGCATTCTAACCAGAGTGACAAAGTGAGACTCTGTCTCAAAAAACATCCCCAAACCAAAACAATCCCATGAAGTTAATAAAATAATTCTATTTATTATTTAGGAATGGTTTTTCGAAGTAAAGGATGTGTCTCCGCTTACTATGGTATTAGCAGTTAGTACAGTAATAGTTACATTTTATACCTTCCTTCCTGGAGAGTAGCCTATGATTTCATGGCATTTCTTATATCATAACCCAGTTATGTCATCCAATATAGACAGATGAGAAAGGAATAGATTGATTTTTGTTAAGTATATATACATATATAGAGTTTAATTTATAGATGAATGTAATAAATAATAAACGTAATAAATAATAGATAGCATATAAATACATAATAAATAAAATAAAGAGCATACATATCATTGTACATAACCATTACAACGGTGCTATATTACTTTCGCATGCCAGGTAGCCTCCTAAGGATGCAGTGAATGGCTTTGGACATCTTTATGTGAAGGAGAATGTGTAGGACTATCTTAATTTTCCCCTAACAGCAATATGGTGAAATAAAATTAAACATTGCAAAATTTGCTTCTGTGATACATGTGGAAAAGAAGATAGCCATTGACATTCTGACTACGCCGTACAGGTATTAAAACTTATTGTGGAACAAATGCACCAGTGATTCCATTTGAAGACTTTCACTAAATGGGAGGTGATGGCTCTTTTACAAACATTTGGGAGATTTCTTTTTCAAATTTCATTGATTAAGTGAGTTTATTTAAACGTTAGTGTGATATATTAAAAAAAATTCTGGAGAATAAATTCATTTTTAAGAAGTGGTAGAATCAATTGGAAGTCAAGTGTTATCAATAAAAATAAAAATAACAAATACGGGCTGAAGAGATAAATACTCCAGTGGTAAAGTAAGGAAATGAGGAATGCATCATGGACAAACCAGATTAAAGCCTATTCTTGAAAAGCAGTTGTCAAACCATTTTCAGTAATGATAATGGGGCTAATTACCTAATTTCCTAGATGATCTATCGCTAAGATTGGGTCTTGTTCAAACTTCTGTGCTCAGGGAACTCCAATTGCTTTTAGAGAAATATATATTTATTTACTTTCCCTAATACATTTTCCCCTTATGGTAATGAACATAGTAATTCTGATTTACTGGAAAGGCACTGAATTTGAAACTGGTTATACATTTGTTACCAACCATATCATTTTAAAGCAGTTCTAAAAACTCTACCTTAGTAAACATTTTCTCTTCAGGAATAAAATCTCAGAGCAAGGTATGGAACATACGCATTTCAATACATATTTATGCTCCATACTTAGGTCATGCGTTTTCCTACATATCAAAGAACACTTCTTCTTATTAAACTCATTTCTTGCTTTGCTACACAAGGAATTCCATAATCTCACAGCTCCAAGGCTTGGAGAACACGTCTCTCCCATTCAAACTCTATCTAAAATACCAGCTGAACATTTGTCTATGTAAAATAGGGATAGGAGCACTGCCAAGTTGAAATAAGTTGCCTAACAAATAGTAATGTCCAAGCTCTTAAAATCACAAACTTTGACCTTTCGGTTTTTAAAAATGGAATGTGTTTAAATAAACACACACACACACACACACACACACACACATCAGCTTACCCAAGAACAGATTTAAATGTTTAAAGCCAAGCATATTATCGCTTAATAACACTAATAATAAAATTTATTTATGGAGATTTGGGAAGATCAGATAAATTTAGAAAAAATCACAAAAATGCAAGCTATTCTATCAAACTGATTGAGATACCTCCATTTGAACAGTTTTCCTTAGCGTTACGGCTGTATTCACTTAATATTCCTTTTGAGAGACCAATGTCATTATAGTTTGGTGCTAATAAAGCCCGAGTTGTCTTACCGTTTAGTTAAAGATACGCACAAGGATAACACAAGGATATTTTTCTCAATTTCTCTCTTTGAGAATAGGCTTATCAACAATAATTTTGATTTGAGGAAAATAAATAGAAAAGTAAAAATGAAAAGCTGGGTTATCAACGACATGTTCCTTGTTAAGGCCCTCCCTTCTTACCTCACATGGTCCTGATCCGATCTTTTCAGCCCCCGCACATATTTCTGACTCGTTCAGAGTCACCTTCCCTTGGTGATGCTGGCTGCACTTCTCATTTCCCATAATGTAGAGATGTGCTACTCGTAACAGACCGTCAGAGTTGATCACTAACGTGGTGCAGAAAAGAAACAGGAATGACAGGGAAAGGAGAGATACGTGAGAAACAAGACAAATGTGTTCTTTAAAAAAAAAAAAATTAAGTACTGCCTCATCTTTCAAAAACCAGCTTACATCCAGTGTAGCCCCAGCCATAAACACTGCAAGTGGTCTTTTCAGGAATTGTGCACCCGTAATTAGGTAAATCAATCGTGTTGACAAAATCATCCAGGATGGCAGGCCTGAAAAGAGCAAACAAAGTGATAAGCATTCTCACCGGACAGAACACAAAACAAACACAGTTAAATGTAATGTTTGTGCTGAATGTGACGTTACAGGGAAGATGGTCTTGTTTCTTACAAAACGGGAATGCTTTGTATCTAATGACGAATTTGGAGTAGGTAGTAGAGAAATGAGTCGTTTATTGCTATAATATTAAGAGTGCCTAATGGTACTCATTATTTTTTATTTTACTTTTTAAAGGTATCAAATAATTGCTCACTAAGCATCAGTTTTAAAGCAGATTGATTAGATGGTTAGCTCAACTTTATCCATTTTTGAAAATTTGGCAAAGAATCTGTCACTCTCTACACACACACAAACTCACACACATACATACGTATACATATGCATTACATATGAGACACATGACATACGCTTTAATAATAAATTTATGCAAGAGAGGAGGAATAGACACACAACTAAGGAAAATGCTTCAGTGATTCTAGTCCAGGTTAAAAATAAAACATCTAAAGTAACTAACCTAGCAAGCTTCAGTAAAACCAGATCTGAACCTTCGGGTCCATAGACGAGCTGGGACACATTTAGAACCTGCTTGCGTTTCTCGTCTCCTCTTCCGTGGACGTCATGAATCCCAAGCCAAGCTTCATAATCTTTCAAGTCTTTGTTTCTAAGTAAAAATTTTTATGGAAAATACAACTCAATTTTAGTCCCAACTATTAGTATTTTAGCTTGTAAAGGCAGATAAACAATTTAAATTTAAAATACGGTCCAAAGTATAATAAAGAGTAACACATTTGTTATAGAAGATTCTGAACATTACAAGCATACATAAGCAGAAATAGCTTTTATATTGCTGAATTCTACATGACTCTTTAAAAACTTGATTTTGCTTGCTGGAGAGTAAGTCACTTGTGAAGATTTCTCAGGTAAAGTGCTCTACCTGAATCCTGATTTTGTAGAAAATCTCATTTTATTTATCTCAAGGATATGGATATTTGGTTTGGTAATGGGATTGAAGTTGTGCACAAATAAAATCAAAGTGGCCTTGAGGAGAAGCAGAAAGTAAGTTTGCAAATGCTGTCTCCGTATCTTTTCCTTAGGCCAACTGTCATTCAAAATTATGCCCAGAATGATTGTACAGTGAGAAAGAAGTCCAGTTTCGAAAGGTCTGCTGATAGTAAGAATACGAATTTCTATTGAATATCGAAATGTAGGCTGCTAGTAGCAGGTTGAGATACAAATTATTCACATAATTCTAGCACATTTCCCCCCACGGGAGGGTAATGCTAATTGTGAAAAGAGGTGAACTAAAGTTGTGCCCTGTGAGTAAATATCAATGAAGTCAAAGTATGTTTTGTGAGCTAAATTTTAAAAAGAAAATAATTTGTTTACCCCATACTAGTAAGTCTGTACAATAAATACACATTCTAACCATAAAACTACACAAAGACACATTTGTGCTACACACACACACACACACACACACACAAACACAGTAGAACCTCTGCAAGTCGATCACCCAAGGGACTGTAAGAACCTGGTCAACATATGGAACTGGTGGCCAGGCACAGTGGCTCCTGCCTGTGTGTGATCCTAGCACTCTGGCAGGCCACGGTGGGTGGATTGCTTGAGCTCAGGAGTTCAAGAATAGCGTGAGCAAGAGTGAGACCTCATCCCTACCAAATACAGAAAAACTAGCCAGGGGTTGTGGTGGGTGCCTCTAGTCCCAGCTACTAGGGTGGCTGAGGCAAGAGGATCTCTTGAGCCCAAGAAACTGAGGTTGCTGTGAGCTATGATGACCCATGGCACTCTACCTAGGGTTACGAGTGAGACTCTGTCTCAAAAAAAAAAAAAAAAGAAAAAGAAAATGGTCAACTTAAGGAAGTGAGCCTACGGTACTGACACGTGCGTGCGGTGCACGTCTGGTCTGTGAAATTAGGTCGACTTGTAGAGGTGGTCATGGTAGGGAGGTGGTCAACTCTAAAGGTTCTACTGTATTTTAAAAGCTCAAAACAGTATTAGTTTTAAAAACACTTTACCGAGAAGGGAAACATTGTCTTGCAGTAAGAACCCAACTTTCTTTTATCAACGATCCTCCACAGATATGTTTATTTCTATGAGAAAGAGGAAAGAGAAACAAGTAACATCTGTGCAGAAAGAGTGACTGCCAATTAATGCAAAACCTATGGCTCCATTTGTTCAAAATAAATGCACTGCAGAAGAAAATGCAGAAAGGAACTTAACTGGGATGCAAGGAGCTCTTTATCTAAAGGGTGACTATTTGGTGAGTGTAGCAGAAACATTTGTTTCATAGCGTGATTACAATTTTATGAAACCAATTTTACTTCTGTCTAACTCTAAGAACTCAATCGTTATATACCGATACCCATTCCCAACAGGCCCACTCATGTGTATGCTCATCTATCCTTGGGAAAGTATGTGCTACAAATATAGGATAATTAAAACAAAAAAAAGAGTGGACCTCTTTTCATTCAGTGTTTGATTATGAAAAATGAAAATTTTAGTTCTCGTTTAAACCCTGAAAACCATTCAGTGGTAGCAACAAATATTGCTTGTGTTATATTTCCTAATTTCACTAGCATTATTTAGTTTTGATATACTAACTTAAAATATAAATTATTTTGAATTTGTTAGTTCAGTGTAAGACTGGCAATGTGTTATAATATTTCATGTAGAGAGTTAAACAATTTTGAAAGACAAATCATCGAGGAATTGTAAAATACTTGTAAAGAATTATAAATACTAGTGCATTTATTTGCTGAAATCCAAAATTTGTAAATCTATTTTTTTTTTGGCAGCGACAAGGAAAGCTTACAATTTTTCTCAATTTACATTTCCAAAGAGTACAGATGTTCAGTGCTTCAGAGAGTAATACTAGAAGATTCCCAGACTAAGATGCAGTTATTTATGGCCTTTGCCACACAGGAGGATAAGAGTATATATCGAGTTTTAATTTCTCTTCCTCACAGTATGTGTTTTGGAAGAAAAACTCAACAGCTGTTGTTACTAAGAACTTGGATTAAAAGGAAAAGAAATTTCTAAAAGTTTATAGTACTCTGATCTGATGAAAAGGGGTTTCATCTGCTTCTCCACGAACATAACCAAAGGAATAGTCTGATATAGTCTCTTTTTGGTAAAAATAACTCAGAAGTATATGTGTTTTTCCCTTGTGGTTATGAGAGCAGGAAAGAATCACCAATTAACTCAGAGATATTGATTTTTGGAACATTTTTCAGAATAAAAACATTAAACATTCCAAAAAGTTCTAGTCTTGATTAAATCTTTATATTGCACAATCAGCTTCACATTCTGGTTCGTTTCACAGTTCTATTTCAGTACTACATACTTAGGACAGCTACACTATAATTATTGGTATAAATATTTATAAAATATAATGGGGTATTCCTTGGGAAAAGAGAACTTTTGGTATCTTTTACAACATTCTGGTGATCTACACACATAAATATCAAGGGATGTCATCTGCTTGTCAAGAATTGGTTTATTCATAAAAGACTTCAGTTTCAAGTCATCTGTGTTCTATTTTGATATCACCGTGATGTAGAGATATTAAGAGGTATGCTTCTCTCCACTAGCCTAGGATGCCAGGGGTAGGTTTCCTAAAAAAGGAGATGCTTAACTTGAGGTTTTAAGAATGAGAAGGAAATTTCAGGAAAGCTACAACATGAAGTGGGGACAACAAGAGGGAGAAACATGAAATATCTAGAAAATAAGAGTGACTAGAAAACAGGTATATTTAGGGGTGTGTTTCTATATGATGAAGTTCTGATAGAGACAAATAAAAACACAGATATTTTATCATCCTGATTGCCATACAGAATAATATATGTGGTATATGAAAAACTATCAGATCAGATTTTAAGTTAACTTATATGTTTAATATTTAATTCTTATGACATAATTATTAGCTTCATTTTCTTTAATATAATTTGCAAAATGATTTTCTATGGAACATGCCATTGATTCTTAAGAGTATCAAGAAAAACATGTCAATCTTTTTATTTACAGTTATTATAATATTAAAATTATTCAACAGGGCGGTGCCTGTAGCTCAGCGGGTAGGGTGCCAGCAACATACACCAATGTTGGTGGGTTCGAACCCCACTCGGACCTGCCAAACAACAATCACAAACAAGTACAACTTAAAAATAGCCAGGCATTTGTGATGGGCGCCTGTAGTCCCAGCTACTTGGGAGGCTGAGGCGAGAGAATTGCTTAAGCTGAGGAGTTTGAGCTTGCTGTGAGCTGTGATGCCACAGCACTCTACTGAGGATGACATGGTGAGACTTTGTCTCAAAAAAAAAAAAAACAATTCAACTATCACTATACTGTAGTTTGTGAACCATTTTTGTAATGATAATATTCCAGAATAAAAAATTGCCATTTTTAATTTGAATAACAAGGAAACAGTCAGAAATTCTAAATAAATATAAAATTCCTGACATCACTGTACATAAACAGGTTAGAAAACAACTACTATCATGATATTCAGATACATTAATAAACAGGTCCTCTATATAGTTGCTCTTTGCTTAATAAAAATTGAAGCATCCATGAGAACCAGGGACAAAGTCTACACATATGGCTCCTTTGTGAACATTTTAAAGGCTCTCCCTCTGGAAGCACAAATTGCAAAGTCCAGAGCGTTGTTGTCTGGTAAGTGGAATGTGGTGGTCCTCTCATTTCCCTTGTCAGCTACGAGTGCTGTGGAGGAGACAACCTTCACAGCCACATGTGACCATACTTCTGGGAATATGACATTTACCAAGTGTCAAAATAAGTTTGATTTGCATCTATTAATAATTACCTGTATTTCAAACTAACCATCCATCCCACATTTGTTCGTGTTGGAATCCCATTTACAACTCGTAATTGTTTTGTTTTGGCACAAGATATTACAGGATCTGAAACCAGGACCAAACATACCATTATGATAGAACACTTCAAAACAATCAGTGCCTCTCAGTTTTCTTAAACACAATGAAAACTAGATTAATGTAACTACTGCAATTTTATCCAAAGCACATTTGGGAGAAAGAGAAGTAGTATATGTCCACAGTACCCTATCGAGCCTCCAGTGTTACTCCTCATATAAGGAGCAAAGTGACACCATGAAATTAATCAATTCATGGCAGACAGGTTGCCACAAAAGTGACAGTGGCTTTGATCACCATGTACTAAGAATAAGCTCCTCAGCTCTATACTAATGTATTTCCCTCACCATCCTCAACCTAACATGGACCAGCGTTATTTATGATGGTTATTTCTAAATGCCAATAGAAATCAGTAGCCTGAGTGAAATGAAATCAACAAAACAATCTGTGGTTATTATTCCTGAATTTCTGCAGTACAAGAGTAGAGCTATTTTGAAACATATTACCAACATCAAAATTATTGAAATAATATCCCAATGACATAATTATTATATCCACATTAGTATTTCCAAATGACAGCACACAGAATCCTCTGGAGTAGCGTTTTCCTAACCCTCCTCAGTGTTCCTGGCTTTATTCTCTCCACTTGTGTCCATGGTCTAGGATAGATTGTCATCTGCTTCCTCAGCCCGGGGCACAGCAGGTGGCCTTCTACATCAAAACACTTGAGTAACTTTGTTCAGCCCAAGAAATATGTGAAAATCAAAAACAAGCAGCTCCCAACAGATTCTTAAAGGGAGGATTAACTGACCCGCTCAGATTGTGTCATGCTTCACCTGATACACATTTTAAAGCAAAGCTTTAAAAATGGAACAGAAGAGAGACACTGAGGAACTTCCCAATTGTCTGTTTCTGACTGTACCATCCTGATTTTATGCAAAGGGTAGTGTATGTAAAGGCAATTCATTATATATGTTGTACCCCAAATTAAAAGTAAATATGATTTTCTTTATTCAAAATCACACGTATCAGTTTATAGATTTTGTGACAGAGAATTGAATTTTGATATTCAGTATGCAGTTGCCTTTGAAATTCCTTTACATCTACACGTAGAAAAAGATTTTAAATAAACATAAATAGATTAACTCATGTTTCTGATGGAAGTTAATACAGTGATAAGACAATTTTCTATGAAGACAAGACTGACATCATTTCTGACACAGAGAATGAGACATATCTTATATTTTGAAAGATTACTTACGGTCTAAATTGACTATTGTAGGTGTGGTGTCACCTTCACCTGTAAAAAATATATATAGGTACATAATTCATAGGTACATATTTCTATCATATAAAGATAACTATTTTCTAAAATTCAAGTATCTATACCTTAAAAATTTTACTACAATTCTTGGCATTTGTTTAAAGATAAAATGTAATAGTACTCTTAAGTAACTCTGTATCACTGTTACTGGATAATATTATAGGTGATGTGAGGACAGCTCAGTTTTATGACTATAAATGTTCTCAGGTGTGTGGTCTGATGACCTTCAGTAGCTTGAAGTTCACTGCTGGCTTTGGGATTCATGTCATTCTACCAAAATTCCCAACATGGTACACAACGAACACATCATTGAATGTGACTAATGCATAGATTTGCTTGGACCCTTCATAAAGCCTTCTTTGTCTTTACTGTAACCTGGATCATTTAAACTTTTTCTGAACACTTCTTTTTAATGTTTTCAAAAATTCTAAAGAATAAAAATTAATTTCCCTAAATATCATTAATTTCACACAATATCATTGTTTTGCTGTCAGAATAGTTCAAGGATTGGCTTTTCCAATTGGCTAGTAAAAAAGTATGAGAAAAAGAGAACACCAAAAACTCCAAATTAATTCTAACTAAACCCTCATAACTTTCTACTGTTTCATCTCTACTGGGGTTTAATTGCTGCAAAGAAAAAGGCTTGGAAGATGCTGGGATTTGGAAATACTTATGCAGTAATAAATGAGACATAAGACATTTCCTGGAGCTTAACGTTTGACTGTTCAGAATTGATGGCACAGAGTTCAGTCAGGCACTACGTAGACCCAGATGGTTGTTAATCCCTGGAAATGCCCTGAGCTCAAATAAACCAGCAGCAAAACAATAATGGCAAATGGATTTCTTTGTAATAGATGCAGTTGTGATTGTTCTTTGTGGGGATAGTGAAGAGAATCGATACGTGCTTATTACGTTCATTTTCAGGCTGTAGCTATTTTAAATGAGTAAGGGTGAAGGTGAACATAGAAATTTTTATCATTTCCCTTTCCCCTTAGCTTAACCTGAGGGAGGGTTTCGTTTGAGTCAGCAGAGGTCAGTATTTGAGTTCACAGTACACACAGAGATTGAGGCACAATATGACAATGAAAGCTTCCAGGGTATTGTTTTTTCCACTCAAATCAATTACTCGAAAGTGTTAAATAAGTAGGTATTTATTTCTTATGTTGTAATGAGAAAGACTAAAGTATTCATTCAATCCTAAATTGCATATTTAGTCTCTTAGTTCTAAGCATCATGCTAAGTGCTTGGTTCTTTCTTCCATCCTACTAACATATTAAAAGTTTTAAAAATCTGTAGATGTTATAAATGTGGGGTTTCAGTAAACATATATTTTGTTTCCTCTCATCTAATATTTCTTACACCTGAGAATAAACTGAAATACCATTAATAATCAGATTTCTGGAGATTCTAAGCAGGTGACGGGTTTCTGAATAGAGCACACTGTAGGTTCCTCTGTGTATACTGAAGCAAAACGTTGAGAAACTACTTTCTAGGCCTTTTCCATTTTAGTATCCAACACCTTTCTTTCTCTTCTCTCTTTTTTTACTTACCCCAGTATCTTTACAACATTACTCAGGTCTGAAACATATATATGAAACAAATCTTATATTTTGTGTTGGCTTGACTTTGAGGAAAGAAAATATGTCAATGATAAATATTATACCCACGGAAGAGTAGATGTGTGTGTGTGTGTGTGTGTGTGTGTGTGTCTGTCTGTCTTGAGAACCAAACATGGACTTTTAATGAAAACATAAAGAAATCTTTCTTTTACTGTATTCTTAAAATTTCAATTCAAATTAAACTTTATGAATATCGCATATTTCTCTAGGCATACATCTGTGTTCCCATTATCATTTTATACATTCATATGTATTTATTACATGATTACATGATTAAATACATATGTATTTATTACATGATTATATTGCTTTATGATTATTTATAAATGTCTCCACCCTATACTGTAAACTATTTGAGGAAAAAGTGTATATATAGGCAGGTACAGAAGCTCAATCTTCAAAGAAATGTTTCTCAGAATCAATCTCCTGGGGGAGCACATTGAAGCGAACTGCCATGTCTGAGCAAGGGGTGCTTATCTCCTACAGTCTACCTAGCATATTATTATATAGGGCTTTGCATATAATAGCAGAGCAATAAAATATAACAAATTATTAAATTAAAATGGAGATGGAAGGTAATTTTTTGAGTGTTTACTATGCCTCAGACACTGTTCAGAACAGCCAATATATGATAGGCACTTTAATTATACAATAACAGCCCAAGGCAATTACATAGTGATGAGTCAAGAATTCTTCAGAAGTCGGAGTTGACACTCTGAAGGACTACACTCTCAGTAGGTAATATTTTTTTAAGATATGCTAAGTGTGAGTGCAGACACAAACATATAGGCATTTCTACATTTGATGTTTGCATATTAGATAAGACTAGATTATGTTGAACATTATTTTGTAAGCATTTTAGAAAAAAATTCTCTTACATGTTTTATAAGAAAAATAAATGTACAATGTGAAAATGATTTATACAGTCTCTGCAGTTATATAAATAATACTAAGTCAGATCTTCTAAAGATAAATTTTACTAGCCTTGCACCAGGGACAAGATGTAAATGAACCCTGGCTATAAATATTAGTTGGAGAAATGACAAGAATAAAAATCTTTATTGAAATTGTTAGGTATACACTGAAATAAAAATGAGTTATCTGCGGTAACATTTAATCAAATACTAGAAATACCCAGAAATCTTGCAACAGCACATTACCAACTTTCGGTTTAAAAATATTAGTTGAAAAAAATTTTTGAAAACTTTTAAATTACTAGAGTCCTGTCTCCCTTAGTCAGGCTTATAAACCAAATCACAGTGCCCTAAGATTCTGAGAGCATTTTATTTTACACAACATGAATGTGCTAGATGGAGTTGCTGTGAGTTTTATAAACCTGGAATTCTGCAGAGAAAGCAATATAACCTGTTTTTGAAGCCAGATCACTGACTTTTTCTTTCTTTCTAGGTCAATGTATAAGTCAGTCTATCAGCCTCCATTATTCTTCTTCAGAGGGACTTCAAAAGATACAGTGATGTACAACCAACATTTAGGAAAAATGATCCTTAACCAGTTTTTCATTTTGTTTTTGGCATGGCATTCTCTGGATAGATGTGCTTGCTCTTTGGTTGGTTAAAACTTGAAAAAAATATTTCCTGGGACATCATTTTCAAGACCTATGTAAGCCCGAATAGGGGAAAAGTATAGAATATTAAGAAAACACTAATTAATTTGAAAAGCTATGATGGCTGATCAAATAAAAAATATAATAATTAAAATACCATTTATTTGCAAATATACAAGGCATTTAAATATTTATTATTGTAAAGAATTTCCCACCCTGTTGAAAAATAGAGTAGTCCCAAGTCTTAATGATTGGTATATTTGGTTAACATAATTTTTAATAAGTTAGTGTTTTTAATGCTACAATTTCATGAAATGAGAGTGGTGATTCCACTTTAAGTGAAAATTACTCTTTAACATAAATTCTGGAAAAACAGATTTATGTGTGTATTTCATTTTTTAAAGCAATATTATCTCTCCTTTTAGAGTATCTTTGCCTCTTACTCTCAGAGTACTTGCTTTTACAAGCTTGTATCACAGGAATATGTTCTTAAAACGAGAGTCTCTTTGAACTTACATCCTTTTTAAAAAAGAAAATAGTTCTACATCATGGTTAAGGATGTTTGCTGTAAACATACAGCCATGATACAAATACTATTTTCAAACAGTAAAATGGTCTCTTACCACTCACACAGCATTATAAAAGGACTTTTAACTCAGTAACATGTTAAAGACGCATTTCTCTCTCAATATATTAATGGTTTGCCATGAGGGTGGTTTTGTATCCCGGGAACACTGACAATCTCTGGAGGTACTGAGTGCCGTGACTCAGGCAGGTGTGGTGCTACTGGCATCTAGTGGATAAAGGCCAACCAAACCATTAAGCATCCTGTAATACACAGAACAGCCTCCCACAGCAGAAAATTGTTAGCCCCAAATGTTGAGTGTGCCAAGGCTGAAAAATCTTGATCTATATCAAAAATATTATTACTTTTGATACATTTTCACAAGCCTACTTCCAGAAAGGATTTTCAATTCACCCTCAAAAAAGTAGCATAGTATTGAGAAAGACTGATTCCTCTAAGCCCTCACTAATATTGGGTATTAACAATCATTTTATTTGCAAACCTACTAGGTAATAATGATTTCTCATGCTTTCTAAAATTTCATTGTTTGTTCTCTTCCTAGGAAGTTTTAATGTCTTTTTTTTACTATGTTTTTGAAGATGCATTTTCTTCCTATTTCTCCTGCGTTATCACATCTTTATTGATACGTAGAGCCTTTTTATATGATGTATGAAAGACAAGCATTTTATAGGAAATACATCAAACATGTATAATACGTTTTACATATATCTTTACTTGATGCCCCAATACAAAGCCATCTTGGATTTAGACAAGTGGGTGGAAATCTCTGATCTTTACTTAGTCTTGGCTTAAAGGTGTGAGAAAAATATAAAATTTCAGATCTGTTCCAAAGTCTTTTAGGGGACTGGGGAATTTGCCGTGAGAATGAGGAGTGGCGTGTCTCTGTGTGGTCTATGAGTCTGTGCCCATGTGTGCTGATCTCTGGAGAGCATCCTCATTTGAGGATCCACACCAGACCTCCTATATTATTTACAACTCTGATAAAGGTATCGTTTTAGAGGATATATGGTATATTTAAAATGTTTAAAATGGAAAATGTACCCAACTGTACTTACAACGAGAAATAGGGCAGTAATCCCACGGAATTAGAGGATTCCCAGTGTAACACCAGGGGCCATGGGCGTCATCGTCAGGATTGCGGCAGTAATTCTTATTCAGCTTACTAGCATCTGGTTCCCAGAAGATATGGCTGCATAAACAACAAGCTTCAAACATCACAAGACGCTCACTCCATCCAAGAGAAACAAACTACTACAAGAAGATATAATCCTAGCACATTGCTCTCAATGTAGCTACAGCATACAACTTCTACTTGGGATGAGTTTTACTTATTTTCTTTGATCTCTCGGTTTTTTTTTGCTGCTGTTGTTCTTACAGTTTGAAACATATGGTCTAACTCAGAAATATGGGATGGAGCTTTGTAATTAGCATATAGAAAATGCTGAGGCATTTTATAACTTTGTTTCTATTTAATAATGACAGTGAAAGGTAAAGATGCCTCTCGCAGAAATCGCAGAAACAGAGAAACATTGTCTAAAGCAAGCAGATGGCAAAGATCACAAATAGAAACTAGGAGGAAAACACAAGCCAGCCGTGGCAGAAGTATTTGTTCACATTTCCTTCACATTTCCGATAAGTATGAAGCATGACTAGCACAATGACTATGACAAAAAACAAGCAGATATTCTGAAAATTAATAACAATGGGCTAATGAAATAATTCTAAAATTGTACCGCTGATATAGATATGAAATATGATTTTCTGACAGATAACCAACACTTCAATCTTCTAACTTATGTCTTAATTCAATGTATCACAAAAGAAAAGCAGAGACATTGTGTGGTCCTTTCTAAGACCTGCCCATTCATGGACCATCAATATTTACATTTACTTCAAGAATATTAATGAAGTCAAATTCTACATGGCCATTCTGAGGAACTCACAAAAACAGGACTTATAACTGAATTTGTCTTGTGTTATTAATTGCTACTGTGCTCAAATATGATTAATGTATCATTTTTTAAATGCAATTGCAAAGAGTTTGAATGTTGAAATTTGGACTAAATTTCCAGACCAAGGTTCATTTTCTGGAAAAAGAACAATAGCACACACCACATATAGTACTGACTGTGTGCAAAATTCTGCTGCCATCTTTACAGACACAATCATACACCAATCTCATGAGACAGACTTTAAGTTTATGTTTTATTACATTTGAGGAAACTGAAAGCCTCAGAGGTTGATTAATTTGTCTAGGGTCATATGGTTTATAAAGATAAGAAGAATGTTCTCCTTAGTTAAGTATCTCAAGAATGGAAAAGCAAGCACCCCATGTCCTCAATGCTTATTTGAAACTAGTAAATGAACAATGACAGCCCCACAGGAGAGGAAAACACAGTCAAATTCAAGAAGGGGGAAGAGGAGGAGGGAAAGGGGTTCCTTCAGGAAGCTCTCACCTACTTCACCTACTGGTACAATGTAGCTTATGTGGCACACATTTTGGGTGAAAGACTCATCTATAACTCCTACGTGGCCTAACCAATGCAAACAATGTAACCTAATTGTATATGCCCCTATAGTAATCTGAACAAAAAGACAAAAGAAAGAGTAGAGTTGGGGTTTGAACCCACGTCTATTTCAAAAGTCAAAGCTCAAAGCCACCAGCTGCACCTCCTCCTTAAACCAAAATAGTACCATGAAAGTTAATCATCAATTAACTTCTTACAAATGCTTTCCAAAAGTCAAACCTAACCTCCATGATAAGAATTATTAACAATGAGGGTCCCTAAACAAATCTATTGCATGTTTCCATTGGCAAGCTGGGAATTGTTGAAGAACTGGTACTCAGTCTCAGTCTCTGTATGCTGAGGATGAGCCCTTATTTGTGGTCCTAACTGATTTCTGTGGTGCAAATACTCCCACCATGAAAATTTCAAGCTTCCAACGTAAAAGCACCACATGAAGACTTGAGAAGAGGTGGGAAAAATCATCTCTCTCACAGGTTCATAAGAACAATCCACCCCATCCACCACTGCATATTTCTTTTTCTATTTTTTTTTTTTTTTTAAGACAGAGTCTCACTATGTTGCCCTCGGTTGAATGCTGTGGTGTCAACAGCTTGCAGCAAGCTCAGACTCCTGGGCTTAAGCCATTCTCTTGCCTCAGCCTCCACAAGTAGCTGGGACTACAGGCACCTGCCACAACATCCGACTATTTTTTTGTGTTATTGTTGTTGTTGTCATTGTTGTTTAGCTAGCCCGGGCCAGGTTTGAACCGCCAGCCTGGGTGTATGCGGTCGAGGTCCTACCACTGAGCTATGGGCGCAGCCACCACCACTGTATGTTTCCAAAAATGCTTGTAAAAATAGCAGTGGTGAAATCAGCATTTCATTTTAATCATGCCAATTCTTCTGTAAAATTGCTTAATAGAATATTTTAATTCTCAGATAAAATTTAAGTTTCTTAGCTCACTCTTAGCTTTACTAAAATTATGCTTCATTTTCGTACACTTCAGTGTTTCAGCCTTTGCACCTGTTACTTCTTCTGCCTAATGTGCTCTTCCTCTGCTCTCTCTCTTGGCCAGTTCCTACTCATCGTCAATGTCCCAGTTAATGTCCCTTCTCTTAGGAAGCCTCTGACCATCTAAGTCTGGGTAGGCACTCTCTGCATTGCTATAGCATCAGATATGCTCCCTTTCATGGTTTTCATAATACAGAATGGCGTTTCCTGTTTGCCGGCATCCATACTAGAGTGTGAGGTGCATGAGGGCAGAACTCTGCTGCTCTTTGAAGTCCTGGAGTTACAGTGTCCAATATAGTAGCTTCTCGCCATCTGTGGCTACTAAGCAATTGATGGTGGCTAGTCCAAATCAAGGGCTGCTCTAAGTATAAATATACATCAGATTTTGGACATGGAGCATGAAAGAACAGTGCAAAAGATGTCACTAATAATTTTAAATTGAATACACGTTGAAATGTTTAAGACTTTAGACATATTGGATTCAATAGAATATACTAAAATTAATTGTGCAATTTTATTGTTACTTCCTTAAAAATGACGATTAGAAAATTAAAAAGTACATTTATGATTTATAATTATGAGCTCCATCAAATTTGTACTAGAGAGCATTGCTGTAGAACTGTCAATATTTGTTTGTAAAGTAACTTAATTAAAGAATATCCACTACTGAGTATATTATGGAAGAGAATCAGGTATTTGAAGTAAGACTGAAGTGATTATCAGCCCCCAAATTCCTTTCCACATATAGAAATGTCTTCCATATAGGACTGTGGTGGTCCAGTGACATAACTCATGAGGAGCGGCCATGTTTGGGCACTTGGTCAAATGATACAATGACAGTACCCTTTTATTATTATATTATATTCTGGGATTTTCACCAATAGTCTGTTTCAGGTCACAGTAACGGGTCATACTTCATTTGTAATTTTATAAACATTGTCACTATTGCAAAGACCAGGTGAGTCCTACCTTCTTTGTCAATAAGTCCCACATAAAAATCTGGCATTCTCTAAAATATGTAGGCTTTTTCAATTTACATATACGTTCCTGTAATTATTACAAAATTGTTTGTATTAATGCTACATGAGGAACTTCTCTCTGTAAGTTTTTAGTAGTTAAGTGGGTATTTAAATTATATGTGTATATGAAAATGATCATTTATTGATTTTTCATAAACTATTACTAATAAAGGAACATAATAATCCTATAATATACACCATTCAAATACCAGATTTGCCACTTAATTATACACTATCTTATTAAGTTATGTGACTGTTTTCTCAATGTGACCATGTCCTTCTTGAAGGTTGGCACCAGAACATGTGCCTACTTTTATTTTTTTTGCAGTTTTTGGCCGGGGCTGGGTTTGAACCTGCCACCTCCGGTATATGGGGCCAGCGCCCTACTCCTTTGAGCCACAGGCACTGCCCCACATGTGCCTACATTGTTGTTGAAGTTCCCCATAGTACCAATTACTGTACAGACCACATAGTAAATGTTCAATAAATATGTGCTAACTTGAAATGTATATTTAAAAGTTTGCTACAAGGAAAGATGATGTTAAATTGAGTTGTATAGAAAAACCAGTCTAGGGGTTTTGTTAGCTTACTGTGATATGTAAAAAAATAGACAGAGCAACGTATATATGTGAATACACCATCTGTCTTTATCACCACATTCTATGTATTGAAAAAAACATTTACACACCGGTGTAAATCTTCCATGTTCTTTTCCCACATTGAACACGTTAGTCCAGATCTTGTTTTGGATAAATTGCCCATATAGTTTTTGCCATTTCCACGATAACAATCTAGACACAAAATACACAGAAAGAAGATGAGTAAATATTAGGGAGGACCAAAGAACAGTTTTTTAAAACATGGAATTATAAAACCCAACAAAAATTTACATGAAGCTCTCTGAAATCTATACAAATCAAAAAATATCTTCATCAAAATAAAGGAATATGAAAATTCAAATATTGCAAGTAATAATTTTTTTTAAATTTAAGAAGTGAGTGGCCCTTTGGGACACCAAAGAAGTGATAATTTTTAGAACAGACATATTTCCCAAATTTATGAGAAATTTCATCCCATAGAAAAGCTGCAAGACTAATACACCAGGCACATTGCTTGGGTTTTGATTTTTGTCTTCCATGATATTGACATGCTGAGTCACCCAAACCAGCTGTTTTACAGATGCTTTTTAATTTCAATTTGCCTGATTATTTTCTCATGAATAAAATCAAGTTACATTTGACAGGAAGGCTGCATCATGACATCCTGTGACATGTGCCGTCACTGGTGACACACTTGATCCCTTGCTTAAGAGGTATCAAGGAAACATCTCTCTCCATATTTAACAAACCTCCTAGTGCCAAACACATTTTCACAAAATGGCTTGGATGAACTTGCACGAATTGGTTATAACTATGCTGGTTGCCAAATGATCATTTTTCTAGCATTCCTTCATATGTTAAATATTCCTTAGTTGGCCTTCTGTATAAGAGATTTTCCTTATCCTTTTCCCCTTTCATTTAGATGTGAGAAGTGGAAGTGTTAGTACTAATAGTAGTCATTATTTAAATGTGGACTTGTGGATTCTATTTTTATTCAATATAATATAACATATTCACAATACACATTTTTATGTTCAAATTACTCCAAATTTGCCCAATGAAAGCTGATTTATCTGGCTCCTGTTTCTTACTATGTCCCATGAAGTTTTACTTTTCCTTTTTTAATTGAACAATGTGTATAATCATTGATGAAAGTGTCCATATTATTATTATTATTTTGAGAGAGAGCCTCAAGCTGTCTCCCTGGGTAGAGTGCTGTGGCATCACAGCTCACAGCAACCTCCAACTCCCGGGCTCAAGCGAGTCTCCTGCCTCTGCCTCCCAGTTACCTGCTCCCAAGGTGCCCGCCACAATGCCTGGCTATTTTTGTTTTTTTTTTGGTTGTAGCCATCATTGTTGTTTGGCAGGCCCCAGCTGGATTCGAACCCTCCACCTTTGGTATATGTGGCTGGCACCTTAGCCACTTGAGCCATAGGTGCCAAGCCAAGTGTCCATATTATTAAACAAAAGAAATGTAATAATAAATCAAGTTCTTCCAAAAATGTAAGCTGCAGTTCCAATTTACAAAGAAACACTCATCTGTATTTTCAAATAATATCAAACATTTTAAAAGTGTCTTTATCACTAAAAATGTTTAATTTTTATATGAATAAAAACCTGTAGCTTTGACTATAAAATATTATCTACAATTATACATCAACATTAAGATTATTCTTCATTTTATATTTTGTAAACCAGAGCATATTGTCGTTGGTTTTAAAACGTGTTATTTGATTATAGTAAATGATAAGCATAAATTGTAATGAAGTTGATTAAAGGAACAATTTAATCATCTATCCAGAAATCAGTTAACACAGTGAAAAATAAATATGTACAATAAGTATATTCAGTTGTCATGTGTTCATGTCCTCAGATCACATTGCAATAGTACCAGAAAGATTAGGCTTAAGTCTAAAAACTCAAATAAAAGTAGGATTTAATACAGATCAAATAGCAGTCATTACAGTACACCATGAAACTGTTTGCAAAAAGCATTAACTTGAAAAATCCAATACTTGCACACTTGAAGAATATATTGATTCAGAAAAACATTTCTCTCCCATAATGCTATCTTTCTTTTTTTCTTCATTAGGAAGGACTAAACCTTTGATTATTAGGTAGTGAATTCTGATGCAAAAAATTGTGCACCCCAGCATATCAGAGCTGCTCTGGTACATTTTTGGTTTTTACTTCTGTGTTTGGTTGTACACATTATGTGAAGATGTCTTCCCTACCAGCTCTACAGCCATCATCCTTTTATTTAAATAGGGGCTACATGCTAGTTTTTTTTTAAGTAAACCTTTGACTTTAGAATAGCTTTTGGTTTATAGGAAAGTTATGAAAATATTACAGAGTTCTCATGTGCCATGCAGTTTCTCCAGCTTTGGACGTCTCACATTAGTAGGACAGATCTGTCATAACCATTGAATTATACTCATGTGTTACTATTAATTGAAGCCTATCCTTTGTTTACATGTTCTGAGTTTGCACTCACTATCCTTTTTTTGTGTTCCAGGATTCCGGATCATACCACAGTACACTTATTTACTTGTCATGTTTTGTAAGGCTCCTATAGATATGACAATTCCTCAGACTTTTTATTTATTTTTTTGAGAGTACTGTGTCATCACAGCTCGCAGCAACCTCATACTCTTGGGCTTAAGCAATTCTCTTGCCTCAGTCTCCCAAATAGCTGGGACTACAGGTTCCTGCCACAATGCCCAGATATTTTTTCTTGCAATTTTCATTGTTGTTTAGCTGGCCCGGGCTGGGCTCGAACCCACCAGCCTCAGTGTATGTAGCTGGCGCCACAACCGCTGTGCTACGGGCACTGAACCCCTCAGACTTTTTTTTTTTTTTTCGATGAGTTGTTTATTATATGACTTCTCCCTGGATTTTTATATGCTCAAAACTCTTGATGTTGGAATTCTTTTTTCTTTTTATTAAATCATAGCTGTGTACATTAATACTATCATGGGGTACAGTGTGCTGTTTTTATGTACAATTTGAAATATTTTCATCTAACTAGTTAACATAGCCTTCATGTCATTTTCTTAGTTATTGTGTTAAGACATTTATATTCTACAATTAGAAAGATTCACATGTACCCTTATAAGATGAACCATAGGCGTAATCCCACCAATCACCCTCCCTCCACCCATCCTCCCCCCTCCCTCTCCCCTTTCCCCATATTCTTGGGCGATGATTAAGTTATAGCTTTCCTATGAAAGCTATAGATTAGTTTCATAGTAGGGCTGAGTACATGGGATATTTTTTCTTTCATTCTTGAGTTTTGAGGAGAATTGATGAGGTGTTTTGTACAATGTCCCTGAAAAGGGTTTATCTAATATTTTCCTATTCATTAGATGTGGGTTATAGTTTCTTTAAAAAAGGGGAATGTGAGTTTCTGAGCAAATTTCTTTTCCCTTTCATTTGGTACAGCTAGGCCGTGTGTTTGTGTGGGTGAGTGTGTGTATTTACATCTCATGGTTATGAGTAACTACTGATTCCTCCTAATCCAATACCACAGAATTCTTCCTCTCTTGAATTTCATTTCTCTATTTCCTTTTTCCCACAGTGAGAACTCTGATTCCAGGTAACATCTATTACTAATAGTAAATTCTTTGATTTACTACTGTTTAATAGTAAACACAACTTCATGCCTAGCTTTTGTAAAATTAACCATATCCCTAAAAACGAACCCATCTGAATCCATGGGGACTCTTCTTGTTCTTTTCCACGTTCATCACATCTACAACTACTGTGTGGTTGCACTACAGTACATCTGGGTGGTTTTGCCACTACAGAGAATGCTGAAATTAAAATAAAACAACAAACAACTTTTCACATGTTTTTGCATGTTGCTGTGGCAGTGGCATCGTCAGACCACAACCTATGTGGTTTTCTTTTTTATATTCTGATCTTTCAGAGTTTATATTCTGATCTTTTGAGTTTATTTTCAGGTAAAGTAGTGGGCATGGATTTAATTTTATTATTTTTCTAAATGATTAACATGCTGATTCATTATTTTACTTTCATAATTTACCCAGTGGTATAAACTGCCATATTTTTAATGTATCTCAATATGTATTTGGGTTTCTATCTGGACTTTTGATATTTCAAGTTATTCATGTGATAGAACTATGCTATTTTAGTTATAAAAACCTTATAAAATATTTTAATTTCTGCTAGCATTAATTATTTCTAATTGCTCCTTTTTCAAGGTTTTTGTTATCATGCGTACATGTTTATTTTTCCAAGAGAATTTTAGAATCAGATCAATTAATATCATAAAAATTATTGATGTTCATTAAAATCACATTAAATATATAGATTAGCCTAAGTAGCATTTATATATTTATGATCTTGAGTTATCATCTCAAAAAGGAATGCATTAAAGTACATTTCTGTGATTGTCAGGAGTGACTTAAAATTTTTATGGTATTAATTTTATACATTTCTTTTTAAGTTTCTTCCTATATTTCTATCAGTTTTATAGTTATAGATATACTTTTCTGTTTAAATCATCAGGCTTATATATAAATGTTAGTGATATTTGTATAGTAATTCTACCATATATAGACACACACTTAGTGAATTTTTTATTGATTCAATTCAGTCATAATACTATTATAAAATTAGCATGGAATTTTTTTACTTTGTGTTTTTTCTTTGTTTTCTTCTCTAATCACATAGAATAATACCTTCAATACAATGTTAAAGAGAAAAACAGTGTCAAATTATACTTACAAAATTAAATAGTAATGGAGAAAGTAGAAATACTTGTTTTCTCCTACTTTGACAAGAATGTTTCTAATATTTCCCCATTAACTAGGTAGTAATTTTATGATTGCTATATGTGAATATATACTCACATATATATCAATATATTTTATGGAAGCATATATGTGGGGAGTATCTGTGTGTGTGGCTATATATGGGGAGGTTAAAATATGAATATAGATATTTAGAAAGTTTCTATATAGGTCTAAACAGATATATATGGATATATGAATATGTATCACTATCTATATGTGTATATTGAAAACCCATACATTTTTATTTAATTGAATATGTTCGTGAGGATGGTGAGTTTTGCCACAGGAATTTCAGAATCTGTTGAGAATTGTCCTATGATTGTTTTTCTTACGTCCAAAATGAACTTTGCTAATGGGTTTCTAATACTGAACCACTTCTGTATTCTTAGACTAAACTCCACTCAGTCAAGATGTATTGTTTTCTTAATTTCTTTATTGGACTGTTCATGCAAATGTCACTTAAGATTTGTTTATTAAAATTCACATAAACTTACGAGATAGGTCCATAGTTAATTATTTTTTCCTGTGCTATCTTCATTGTGTTTACATATCAATATTATGCTTTCATCTAAAAATTAATTGGAAGTTTTACCATATATGGTAATTTGGCACAATTTAATAGCATTGAGGTTATATGGTCTTCAAGTGCATATGAACATGCTCTATGTCTAATGGAATCACTCTTTTACAGATTTTCCTATTTGTTTTCTAGGAGTTGGTCTGTTTATGCCTTCTTTCTCTATCAGGGTCAATTCAAGTAATTTGAATTTTCCTATTATCATTTCATTTACATTTTCAAAGTTTTATATGAGGTTGAATAAAATAACTTCATATTTACTAACTTTCCTATTTTGATCATTATTTACATCTTGCTAATTATTGTGTTATATATTTGTGGTTTCTCTCTTTCTTGATTCAGTAAGATAATTGTTTATTTTGTCAGTTTAACAAAAAGAAATCATCTTTTTGATTTATTTGTTAGTTTTAACCTATTCTTTTTTCTATCCTATAAATATCTAATTGTGTCTTAATTATTTTCTTTCTTGTGTTTCTTTTGATTTACTTCAGTCCCAAACTTTTCACACTTTGAAATTTCTATCACTCATTTTCATTATTTTATGATATTGGTATTGATATAAATGCTTAAAGTTATGGATTGTCTTCTATTTAATTGCCCTATGTGTATTTTATATAATTTATTGTTTCATTGGCATTTTAAAAATTCTGCAATTTCAGTTTTCATTTTCCTTAACTGTTATTTAATATCCAGTGGGAAAAGCATTTGCATATATGTCAATTCAGATACTGCAAGATTTGAAAAAAGATTTTCAACTCATCACACTGTATGTAGAATTTATACTATCTGTTAAGTAAAAAATATAAGAGCAACACCCTCTCATATATAATTGTGTGTAAGTTTAGATTTATATATATAACTGTAGACACATACATAACAATGAATACACAATTTATACATATATACAGGGTGTCCATTAATGAATTACTAATGAATCGCACATGCATTTTATGGACACCCCGTATAGATGTATAAAACAATGCATACCATTAGCTTAGCAGTATCATACAGTAGCATATCTGCCAGTTAAATTTCAGAGCTAAATGTTAAATAGCCTAACACTGTACCTTGGGCGTAGAAGGTCTAAGCCGTCTTCATTTTTAAATTGTCCCACAGGAAGTAATGAAAATGTCCTTGTAAGAAGAGACATTTAATTCTAACAGTGTCAATTCAAGAATTCAGATGAGTTACTTGAATTCCATAAATCTAATTTTCTCAATCTACTAGAAGAATTAATTTATCAGATAAGCCATGAACATCTGCTTCAACTCCAGAATCAAAATCTTTTATGTTCTATTACCTGAGTCTTTAGTAAGTGAGATACAAAAATATCTCCATAGACACCAAAAGCTCAGAAAACAATTATTCTTGTTTCCTTCCATCACTCACAAATTAACAGCAATTGTTCAAGTAATTGAGACAGAAACCCAGAAGATTAACTGGTACAAAACTTCCTTTAATCATTGGTCTCAACTTCATTTCCAACTGACCTTTAAAATCTGCCAAAGAATAGTGAAATTGACTGAAAAGGGCTCATCCCTTAATCCCCCTACAACTCCATTATCGGGGTTGCTCGTGAACAATGGCACTGAGGAAAAAGGTTAGAATGAAGAAGTTCATATAGGACAATAAATCTATGAAACGGAGCTTTCAATTAAGCTTGGTTTTGTAGGATGATTCCAGGCTGATCATGCCATGATCATCATGGTCATCATCACTTAAAACTTATAATTTAATTTATTTCACACAAACAAATGCCCAGATTTATTAATCTTTAATAAATGATTTATTTTTTAAATTTATTTCAATCTGACTTCACTGCTACTTTCTAAGACAGTTATCTTGCTGGCATGAACGTTTCCAAGTATGTGGTGATATACCCCAAACCCCACCACTCCACATCAGTTTTAATGCTAACACTTAGCTCCAAGTCACTCTCGTCTCTTGGATGGATAATGAAAACAACCACTTTATTGGTTCTCCTGTCTTAACCCTTGTTGAGAATAATGACTATTTTCCAGAATGCAGCCTGAGAGAGCCGGTTAAAACCGAGATCATTTCGCATAAATTCTCAGAGCCCCACAACAGAGCCCCTTCTCTTTCAGAGCAAAAGTGCAAATCATCACATTTCTGACAAGGCTGATGCAATTTTATCCAAATTGCCTCTCTAAATTCATCTCCTGCTACTTTTCTTCGTGCTCACTCTGCACCAGCCGTAGTGATGTGCTTACTTCTTTAACTTTTCAAGCTCTCTCTCATCTCATGTCCTTTGCATCTGCAGTTTTCTCTTCACAGAACTCTCTTTACACATATATATACAAGGCATATCCTGTTCGGTCACTTCTCCCAAGTCCTCCTTAAATGTTTCCCTAACAAGTCAGCTCTTCCCTGAACATTGAAACATAAAACAGCAACACCCCTCTTCTCTAACTCTGGGATATTTTTGTTCTCTACCACTTACCAAAAACTGACATGACATCCCCACCCTCATTTTTACATTGCTTTTTTTCTGTCTGCTGGACATTAGCACCATGTGGGAATTTAGTTTTGTTTAATGATGTTTCTCCAGTGCCTACCACTAAGATAACAGAGAAACAAATACATGTTGAATGAATGAATATATAAAAGAAATCCAACTTCGGACTTGGTGGCTTTGTTTGCTACCCAGCAAAAGCCATGCAACAAGAAATAAATATTTCGCCGTAAAATGTGTCCTCCCTGTAGGCATTTCCCCTGGATTTAATCATGCCCATCCTGCAAAATGTCAGCTATTACCTTGTCCACTTGACACGTCACAGTTTGGAATTTGGGTGCAGTAGCCAACGCGGATGTTTGGATCAGTGGTAAAACACCAGGGTGACTCAGCCCCATCTGGATTTCGGCAATAATTTTCTCTTAGGTCCCTATTAAGAATAAGCATGTTAATGTAAATTGACTTAAGTTTTTACATCAATGAAGTCAGTCCTAAGTTCCTAGTTTTGTGACTTAAGATAGTTATAACAATTTAGAACTCAGTATACACAACAGACACTGCCTGATTTGTTGATAAAATGCTGTCAGATGTTGTTATAGTTTTTTCCCTTCCACAGGCATGGAGTTACATGCAGACATTACTGCTTCATGAAGGACAGAAGCAGTACCACAGCAATCTTCTAACCAGTCTCAAAATTTGGACTTTCAATTAGTACCATCTCAAAACTGGCCTGTTATTTATTATATTTTTATGGCCATATATACTTCAGAAAAAAAAATCTGTCTTTAGAAGAAAGATTATTAATAGTCATTAACTACTGTCTTTTAAAATAGAAGTACAACCTATGGAAATAGCTGCCACACAGTAGCTATTTTTTCTCCCAATTCTGTGTATCTTTGATTTGTTCAATTTGCTGCATAGATATCTTTTAATTGCAAACTAGTTCCTTCTTGATTACCAAAAATCTTTATCAATATTTCTGTGAAGTTAAGGTCTGATGATAGGACAGAAATCCTAACTACAGAGTAAGCTGTAACATAGTACGTGTACATCCTTCATTTTGCCAGTATTTTAATTATAACTGTAGAGTTACTACTAATAAAAAGTCTATGCTAATGTTCTATGTGTGTAAAAGAATTTTATTAGTCTTCTAATATAATATCTTATTATAAGATTCATATTAAATGAAATGTGACTTTATTATAAATAAAATGTCTGAAATATGATCTTTAATTTTAAGTAAGCATGTACCTTCTTTTCATAGATCCCTTGCTAATAATTTAACTAAGTTACTATGTAATCTATTGGAACACAGAATTTGTATCACGTAGGTCCAATTACAAGTACTACAGTTTTATTAAAACTCAATGGACTACTAGAAACAGAGAAATTTTTAAATAAAAAGCTTATTCTTGGTCTGAGAATCAACAAATAACAGTCTATTAGTCAAAGTAGGTCCAGATATGAACTATTATTTAAGGATACTCATATGAGGACATTGACTGCCAATAGTAAGGGCAATTATATAGTAAATGCACTTAATTATAAATTATATTCAAACCTTTCACCTTCTTAAACATGAAATAGAGAAGATGAAAAAGCCTTTTATTTCCTTTAAAGCAATTTATGTTTATGTTTTAAAAAAATTATGGCAGTATAAAGGTGGGTATTAAATTTTATGCAAAATCCACACAAATTTGCAATTTTAGGTGAATAATTATTCGATTAAATTATTTGGATTGTTAATTTCAGGCAAGAAAATTAAATGAAAATCTATGGCTATCACAAGTCTTAGTTTTGGTTCCCTTTTAAAAATCTATATTTACAAGCACCTCATTAATCTAGACAAGGCAAAAATAAAAGCCAAGATTTGCTCAAATATTTTCCCTAAGGCCTCATCCTTTAGTCAAGGAAAGAATTGTTCACAATTGCTAGAGTGAACTGATGATTTTACAATTCATATAGATTCATCACCTACGTAATCTAGTGTTTTCAATGATAGTGTTTCCAAGACTGTCATTTGTAAGGAATCTCAGTAATAGGGCAAGTGATGTTTAAGGGAAATAGATCACAAACAGTAAATCATATTCCGAGGAAAATATTGAGTCCAATTTATCAGTGTTATAGCACAGCCCGAGCTTCATTTCTAGATACTTACTTTTCATCATTTTGGTCAAATAACTTAATTAAGAAAGGATGGTATAAATTCCAATAAGATATAACAGTTAAACTTTTGATAATTAAGTTTTAATTATGAAATTTGTGAATTAAGGTTTTACAATTGTTCTCTTCCTACAGGTCATGTTCTTTGGGTATCTGCACATACACAACTCATTGGATATCACCACTCGTTAAAAGTTAACAGAAAGGTATGAATGACATTGACACTGTCTCCTTTGTCCCTTTTAAGTAGTATTTTCTCCTTCTCTTTTTCTTTTTCTAGCTTGATATAGAAAGGGTCAAGATTAGAAAGTGAATTGGTGTGAATGAAACGATGGAAGTAAATCCAGAATAACAATGATACATTTCATTATTGTAAAATAATGTAAATAAAAATAGTTAGCAGATAAATATTTACTGTCTACACAAGTTACTGAATTAGCTAACACACATAGACACACAATCTCCCCTCTCCTCCAGAGAATAGGGCAACTTATGCTTATAGCTCTCCATCTTGAAAGGTTAGGCTGTCTTATTAAAAGCCAATTACATAAAGCCAGTATATGTTATTTATAGGTGCTATTTCAGCAAAGCCGCTATGAATGACACGTGTGTTATAAATTTCGAGAGCAATCATTTTATGTTCCTCATAACAAGGTGGACACTTTAAAAACACATGGCATTGTGGCTCTGTCTGTCCAACAAAAGTCAAGTGGTGAAAAAATGCAGCTATAAAGAATGCACAAAACAACTCTATAATTGATACTGAAGGAAATGATTCATCTAAACAATTGTTTTACATTCCCTACATTCAAAGATAATCCAGAAACAATGAAAACATTCATTGAAGTTTTTAAACAGAATATTTTTTATAGATCTTTAAAACTGAAAACTCGTCAGTTGAATTTTTTTGTTTTGTTTTTGAGACAGATTCTCACTTTGATGCTCAGGATGGACTACAGAGACATGATCACAGTTCACAGCAACCCCCAAGTCCCAGGCTCAAGCAATCCTCCTGTCTTCCACATAGCTAAGACTATAGGACTGTGCCACCATGCCTGGCTAATATTTTTCTTCTTTATGTAGAGACAGGGGCCTCACTCTGTTGATAAGGCTACTCTTGAATTTCTGGCCTCAAGTGATCCTTCCACCTTGGCCTCCCAAAGTGTTGGGATTATAAGTGTGAGCTCACAGAGCTGGCCCAGTTTAAAGTGTTGACTGAAATCAAGGTGGGCCTCTTGTTGTAAAAGGAAAAAATGTGTAATTTCCCCCAAAGCTAGTCAGAAAAATTAAGAAAGCTCTAGTTTGAAGCATGCCTGGCTAGCATTCCTATTAATTGATTTATTAAATAAACCTGCATGGGCAAAGCAGTGATCAGAAACTAAGAATATGTCTCTCAAAGCATAGCAAATCAGCTCTCTGAATCAGAATCACCTAGAAATCACATTTAATAATCATATCTATTAAAATGCATACTGGAGGGCAAAATCCCAGAACTAAGGGATCAGTATCTCTGGATGGAGGAAAAAAATCTGCCTTTTAACTCTTGATTGTCACAGAGCACACTAAAATTTGAGGATGGCTAACACAAAAATTAGTGAAAGGTAATCACTTTAACCTCATTTCCCTCCAGATCTGCAGGAATTTATAGCAGTTGCCTCCTTTACTCACTTGCACTTGAAATTTTCAGGAGTTATGTCATGCTGGTGAGGATACTGAGAATCCCATCGCTGACATGGAATCCCATTCCAAATGGTATTGATGGTGCCCCTGTAACCTTCTCCTTGACCTTGAATGCATTCAGTTGTTTCCATAGGGACATCAGTGTCATTCACAGGACTGTGAGCTGTTGGTAAAAAGAAACATAAACACATTCTTTGAACATGTCATTGACCTCTCAGAATTCATTGTCATTTGTATTAGCAAGATTTTTCTGCCAGTTACAAGTTTTATGATAAGTGAATAGAATAAGAAATGTAAGCTAACATTATTATCTCCATTCCAATTTTTTTTCATTTAAACCCTAAATTAGTATATTTTTGAAAAATTCTGTGAAAGTCATTTTAATTCAACATATGTAACTAATATATGCTGAATTTATAGCGTTTCTGAAATGACTAGATGGAGGTCGCTATGGAAGTTTTGAGACCGACTATGTTATGGTCCATTAGTTCACTTCCAAAAGTACAGTCGACAGTAGCATCCTTTCGGATCCCCCGAAAGTGTCCACTTGCTGGGCTTGTCAGTGTCCTGGGAGGCCTCATTTGTCTCTGTCCATGCAGCATGCAGTTGGTGTCAGCTGTGGAGCTGGGAAAAGAGCACTTTCACACAATGATTTTCTATAATTTTAAAAGTGGGTTAAAGGAGTCTCAAAGCCTTAAGCTTTTGAAATGGGCTTTTGGGGACCTTACTCCCTCCTGTGCAACAATTTTTCAGTGGTTTTACAAATGTAGACAAGGCTGACCTTCAGTGAAAGAAAAGGAGAAAAGTGGGAGTCTGGCAACCACGGTGATCGAGGAGAACATCAGTGCTGTGGAAAAGATGGTTCTCAAAAAAAAATTTGAGAGACTTTTAAGGACATTGAAGTGGCACCATGGACTGGATCACCAGCAATGTCCAAAATCCTGCATCATGATCTTTGAGTCGGGAAAGTTGCATCATGATGAGTGCCTCACACTTTGATAGATGAACAAAAGCTCATTGCATTGAATGTTGTGAAGAAATGCTGGTGGGGTCCGAGGGAGGCAAGTCTACACACATTTCTGACATCTGTACTGGTGATGAATCCTGGATTTACTAGTTTGATCCAGAGAATAATCAGCAGTTGACAATGTGGATTTTTCTTGATGAAACACCAACACAAGTGCAGTGGCCCCCAAGAGTCAGAAAGAAAATCATGGCCACTCTTTTCCCCAAAAGAGGTCAGGTTGTACCTGTTCCTCTGGGGGAACAAAGGACTGTCACTGCTCAGTAGTACACAGCAGTGTGTCTACCAACAGTTTTAGGGAAGCTTCAAAAACAAGGGCCCAGGACAGGACCACAGGGCACCATCTTCCACCATGACATTGTATCCACCCCACACAGCCAACATCAGCACTCGGTTCCTGGAGTCCACAGAGGTTAAACTTATAACTCCTCCACCCTACAATCTTGTCCCTGTCCTATGTAATTATTTCCTAGGCCTACAGTAAAAAATTGCATGCACCAAAGGGTCTCCAACCCTGCAGAAGCTGTTCACCCCTATGAAAGTGAGCTCGGAACACTTGAAGAAAATGAGTGGAAAGAGTGTTTTCAAAGATAGTTTATAAGAATGCAAAAGTGCACAGAATATCATGGAGATTATTTTGAGAGAATACAATATTCAAAATGATCTTATGTTTCTTAACTTTTGTGTATCTCAAATCTTTCATAGTATCTCTCATATAATTATCCTTAAAATCAAGTAGTTCAAATATATACAAAGGGGACGTAATGACATGAATCATGACTTTCCACCAATATGATAAATATATCTGAGATGATCTATTAAATGCTTTTTAAAATCATCTTATTAAAAGTAAGCAACATATCATTTGCTCCTAAGGAAGATCTATTTTCTGCTTTTTTCCCTAGTTCAACTTCAATGCTTATCACACATCTTGAAGACCATGAAATCCTCAGGAACTAAGTTTTAAAAGGACAAAAAATTAAAAATTTTAATCACAATTTGTACTCTCTTTTTTTGTGTTTAATGTTCGCTCAATCAAAATAGCTACTTACATAATATTCTGGAGTAACAATAAAATACCTTCTCAAAATAAACCTGAGAATGTCTATGGTGTGATGAAGTCAGGGTCAGCCCTGCGGTTATAGTCTAACTGGTCATTCAAGATGCCTCTGGGTGAGACTCAAGATGGCACCCTGGCAGACAGCTTAAGATTTGAATAAATTTCTTTGATTTATCCCATTATGGAATTAGAGGTACTACCTCTACAAAGGAGAGGCCAAAATTAGACATGCCTTCAGAAGCTAGAGATGCCTATGAAAATTTCTATATTTGATAGTGAAAATTTTTCTGAAACTTCATTAGCATATTCTAGAGCAGTTACTATAAACTTATCTTAAAGAGTCACTAAATATTCAATTAAAAAACCAAAAGCATGTTAAAACTGTTAAATAAAAAAATAAAAATTTTATACTTGCATTTAATTAAATAAATTGTTATTTAATAGTTTCTAATTTTGAGGTAGGAAAATAGGAACTTCTGGAATTTCTAAAATTACAGAATACAAAGAATAGCTGCAAATTAATAAAAATCCAGTACTTTACCAAATCAATATAACTTTTCATTAGGCTTTATCAAGATGTAAAAACATAAATACCTTTATTATCGTTTGCCTTTTATTTTAATAAGTATCTATAACTTTTTTTTTTTTTTTTTTTTACAATTTTTGGCCGGGGCCGGGTTTGAACCTGCCACCTCCAGCATATGGGACCGGCGCCCTACTCCTTTGAGCCACAGGTGCCACCCAGGTATCTATAACTTTAAAATATATAACCTTAAATAAATTGAAAGTTGTACTTTTTCTTGTATGTTTAATTCATTTGGAAATAGTTTCTGTGATTTTTACCATAGCCCAGCAGTATCCAGCCAGTATTTTAATTTAACTTCAACATACCCTCTAAAGTTATTACCTTATATTTGTCCCTTTTGACATTCAGCTGCTAAAAGTGACCTCATAAACAAAAACTACATAATTCTGGTGGCAAGGTACGGAATGAATAACACAGGCGAATAAAGATATATTAGCACAAGAGGTAACGAAAGAGTTTTCACCAATAAATAAGAGTTATTATGAGACTCCATGAAGCTGTTTAATAAATATTATATGATGAGGACCACGATGAATGATTTTTCCATAGACTATTTCATGGTGATATAAATGTTTGATCTTTGTGGCTCACAGAGTCACTATTCAAACATAATGAATTATTCCTGAAAGGCAGTAAAATAAACCTCTTCTGCTACCCTATTATATAAATATCAAAACCGGGTGCAAAAACAAAACAAATGTTTCATGACAATTGCTTTGGAAAGAGCGATTAAATGTTGGGAAAGCCATTCCTGTGCATTTAATACTTTAACATGGAACCTGAGTAAAGGAAGGTTTTCAAGAGTCTCCCGTGGTTAAACTAAGCATCAACGAAGCACAGAAAACATCGCCAAATACTGGCAGAAGCTGATCAAGTTTAGACAAAGCAACAGGTTTTTATAAATACAGCATCTCCGCATACACAAATATTATTTTTGAAGTATGTCTACCAAGTTCACACTGAAAATACCAGGAACTCTTCTGAGAGTTTCTTACAAATAAAACATTTTGCCAGGGGCCTCACTCATGGCCCCTCTTTGGAAGCAGATGCAAAGATATTTATAAAATCCTCCATGGTCTATGAGTGAAGGAATGTTTGCTTTTGATGACTGACACAAAGTTTTCTGTTTGAAAATGCTCTAAGGAAAACAACACTGGGTATTGAATTTTTTCACTGTCTTGTTAGGCATGATCAAATACAAACTGGTGCCTTTTAGAATATTGATTTCACTTTGCTGGTGTGGATGCGCTGTGATCTGATTGCTATAATATTTCGATGGGAGTTGTTAGATTTGAATGGATTTTTTTGAGCAAAAGAGCATTAACTATTTCTAATTCTTGACAAAAGCATCTTGCCTTTTAACAAAAAGAGACCAGAAGAAAAAGATCACAAATAAAAAATCTGATGAATTGTCTCTATGAAGGGTGAGCCAAAGAGAAAGCTATGACCTGGACACATGACCTGGACAGAGAGCTGTGAGTGGCAGCTGGAGTGGGGAACACACAAGTATATTTCATATATACCTTATTTATATATTGCATATATAATATGTATTTTATGTGTATATATTTTATATAAAGAGTCACACTCAAGGCTGTGCAGTTTTTATATGAAACGATGAGTAAATCCTTATGTAAATCCTTACATTTACTCATCATTCATACAAAGAAAGTCCAGATTTTCCAGTAGAAACAGTATATTGCTATTGTTTTTCCTATCGCTAAGAACAAGATGCCTCACAGGGCAGTAGACTGTGATATAAATGTTTGATCTTTACTGCTCACATATCACTATTCAAACAAAATAAATTATCTTTTGGACTAGTTCAACCCGCTGCCTCTCCCTGCTACTGAGGAGAACTGAAACATAGGATTTACTTTACGGTGATCCCTGGCAATTGAGAACAGTGAGTAAAGCCACTCTCCCATCAACAGTACTGTGCTCTTGGGCCACAAAGGGCAGTCTCAGGCTCACTGTAAACTTCCAGAGCTCCATGTTTTAAAGTTGACATGGGAAAGTACTAAAGACCTCCAAAGTACAAACCTCAAATTGCTTGCACGTTTGCTTTCCATGTGAAGCCAGGATTCGTATCTGAAACTTTCCCCTGGACTTGATCCAAGCCTTTTCTGGTACAAAATACTCAGGAGACAAGACTTTCATGAAAGGTCTTCAATTCTATAGTCTTTCCCTTAGAAGATGACTTGGAAAAGTATAAAAATTTTTCCCCTGACAAAGGGTATTGATAGCATTGTTTTTTCCTGACTCAGAATACAAGATTTTATTTTTCTGGATCTCTAGTCTTGGCCTTGGATAAATTAATAAAATTCAAGGAAACAATCAGCTTTCTTTGAAAAAGAAAACAATTTGTTAAAATTATTTTTCCAACATACAAACATGCTGAATTTTAAGAGATGACAGCATTCTCTTAAAACAATGCCAATGTTCATGGGTTACTAAGAGGAAAGAGATTTGATATGTGTTACCAATGGCAAC